CATCTGGAATCAATGCAAATAAAATAAGCCCAGATTTAGTTGCAACTTCTGTGATGTGGCCTAGTTTACTGTTTCTCAAAACTGTACGTGCCCCTGAGGAAATTGTAAAATGTAGAATGTGTTTCATTAGATCAGATCGAGCCCTGGTATTATGCATTTCTAATATGCTCCCAGTGGATGACAGCTCTCAGGCTGTTGGGGCAATGCTATGAAAAACAAGGACTAGAGCCACATTCCCCGAAGTTTGTTTCACCTAACTTTGAGGTATCTTATGGAAAAGGACTGCTTTGCCAGGGGTGGCATATTCTCTCTTCTTTTGGATTTGTGATGGATGTTAGCACCAAAAAAGTCGCAGAGTAAGGGAACAAACTCAGTTTTTCAGTTGTAGTAAAATCACCTAAGGTGTATCTTGCTTCTTACCTTTTCAAGTGTGAAAACTTCAGAACAATCAGAACATATATAAGTAATAGTCATATGTAAGGTTATATGTGAGGTTGTGTTATTTACTGAGAGAAGCTGACTTCCTACCAGATCTGCCATTAATGATCGGATAGTTTGTCGCGCCATGGTCATGATTACCAAGCTTGTATTAACAGAAAAGAGTAAATAATTGTGAGGTTTTAAAATAAAATTCAAATAAAATAAAATAAATAAAATAAAATTTAAACTTTAAAATAAGTATTTTGAAATGATAGGTATCATAGTGTGGAGGAAAGGAAAATAGCTTTTATAGTCAGATGGACATGAATTTGATTCCCAGCTTCATTTCTTATACATTTGCACTCATCAACCCATCATATATTGAATCTTTTTAAGCCTGACTTTTCGGTTTCTGAAAAATGTCTTCTGTGATGCCACTATTATGGAATTTAATAAAATTAAAAATAACACTGTGCCTTATGAAGAGTGAAAATCCAATAAATCAACAAATTGTAGCTCTTTTATGATCACCAATACTGAATGATTAAAATAAAAGGGTGGTGAATTCCATAAATATGTTTCTATTTCTATTTAGACTCTGCCTGGGCTAGGTCTTTGGTAAATAATATAAAGTAATATAAAAACTCTACTCTGTGATTAGAATCATGTTTTGACATGCTTTATGAGCTTGTTTTATATAGATTTTTTATAATATGCTTTCAAAATTATTGGCAAATCTATTTTTTGTCTGTACTTTGAGCTGGATAATGGAAAATGATTTATACAGTTTTATTGAATTTACGAGGGTTAGAGTAAGCCACATTAATTATTGCTATGTCATTCTTGCAGGCTAGCACAAACTGAGACAAAACATAAGCCAAACTAAATATAATTAGCATTAAAATGACTCAAGCATGAAAAATAATCGAATGGGTCCTAAAGTGTCTTATTCTTGTCAACAAAAGAAGATCGTGCTTGTTTGCAAACATTCATTTTAATTGCTTTTCTCCCATTTTCTAAAATGTGAGAAGTGTTTTAGTTCCCTATCACACTTCTCAAATATTTTTTGTTATTGACATTACAACCTACACTGTCATAAATAATTAATCTGACTTTTAAAACTAGGTGATGAAATCTAAGAAGTCTTATAGAACAAATGCCAGGTGCCCCTTTCCCTAAAAAGTAATCACTTATTTTTTTCTATCCAAATGTATATTATTCAATGTCAGGAAATCTTCTGATTGGTTCATTCACTTTACAGCATACATTTTTTTCTCCTACGCTCAGTGAATTTAAAACATGATTGTTAGTTTTATCACTCCACATTAACCTCACTATATTTTAAAAATGTCCCTTTACTATTTAATAAAAGCATGCTATGAAAATTTGTATTTTTAAGAAACAAACTCATCAAAGAAAAAAATATTCTTACATGGGAATTCTTTCCAATTTCTGCTCAATAGAACTTGGGTGAGCCGTACTAAATATGTACCATGGACGCATAATGGTAAAAAGACAAATTTTAAAAAAAAGGAGTCCAACAAATTAAGGGTAGATAAAATGAAGAAATTCTAGAAAAAGGGAATAGGAGAAAACAGAAACTTTTGTGAGTAGATCTGTAGGGAAGTTGCTGCAGTCAGGAAGGACTTAAGGCAGAGTGAGTAATGACAGCCACGGATCAGCTTTCAGTTTGATGGACAAGACATCTACCATACACTACAAACTAAGGGGCGCCGATGAGGGGAAGCTAACACTATCTTCTCTGGATGTCTGTGGGAAATCAGTTCTTTCAATTCCAGTTACACTATGACAATTTCCCCAATGGATTTCTGTAAATAGGGGTCAAAGTCGAATAAAAGAGCTACCCAGGCAGATTCCAGAAAATGTAGGCCTCCTTCTAGTTGGGTCAGTGCTGATGTTTAGCCAGTACATACTCTTTGGCTCTATTAGCTGTACATTTATTGAAATACTTCGTTAGTATTTGGTGAAAAGCTGCTGCCAGGATTGCCCAACTCAGCTTCCTCCCCGCTACTTCTGAGTTCCTGAAATCAGGCAAATGAAGGGGTCATGTCTACTACAGCAGGCCGTTCCGGGATACTCCAGCATCATGTCTGGTGTAACTTCGAATACACAGATGCGTGTGCCATAGCAGGTGTCAGGAATTCTGGCTTTCACCCTTGGGGTGGTACATTAGTTGTGGACTTCGAAAAGAAAATGGGCTTCAACATTAATGAAAATCTGAAAGGGGCTCTTGCATGTGAGAATGGGACCAAAAGGGTCTAAGCAGAACTTTGTCTATTTCAAAATTTGTCTGAATTAAAATGGGTGTGGCAGTGTCATTAAAGTTACATTACAAGCATTTCTTCATTTATGATCTTATATTGTACTTTACTAAAGAAGAAATTACAATCTTTTCCTCTGTTGTGCTGTGACAGGCATTTACAAATACATTATGATTTGTATTTATTTATTTATTTATTTTACTATTGTGGGCCGGTTGGTTTCTTAAAAAAGTATTTCCCAACTCATCTCCTATCACTTCAGGATGGACGGAGTAAAAATCCAGGGTTCTAGCCATGGTTGAACTTGATGGGTTCTTTCATGACCAGATGCCTTGGCACATGCCACCTCTTCTTGCGGGAGTATCTGCCTCCTTCTATGACATGAGTTGACCCCTGAAGCCTTCAAGGTTCAGCTCAAATGACATCCCCACCTCTAGTGCTCATTCTCTGCACGTGTAGTGTTTCACCGAATGTAGGCATCTTCAAACATATGCCTAATGAATTATTTAGACAAATTTTTAAATTACTTTTATAAACATTAAAGAGGAAGAGAAAAATGTGTCTCTAGCTTTATAATATACTTATCACATTCCATTAAAAGAATATTTCTTCTGAAGTGTTTAAAAAAAACCCAGAATTATCTGAGTAAGAAATTAGACAGTCCTATGTTTTTATTTGAAATAGTAAGTTTTAAGTGATCTTGACATTGAAATGAGAAATCTTTTTTTCTTCCTAGTTATTTCTTCTTCATATGTAATTGTCTAACTTTCTATAGCTTAATTTCACTTCTAGATAGTGTTGTATGAATAAATATGCAGGTTCTAGTTCTATGACTTGAATTATTCACTTAAGAAAAATACAGCTGTCCTTCTGGAGAATGTCATTACATTAATTATAATGCATTTCCTGAATGTATGAGCATTGTTTCCCCTCCTAATATGTAAAGTTTATTAATAGACCTATGAGATAGATTTTTCTGACATAAGATCTCTTTACTTACCTCAAAATAAATTAATACAAATTTTATGTGGCATGCTTTTATTAAATAGTAAAGGGACAAGTTTTAAAATATAGTGAGGTTTGGGACGTCTGGGTGGCTCAGTCAGTTAAGCCTCTGCCTTCAGTTCCGGTCATGAGCCTGGGATCCTGGGATGAGTCCTGCATCAGGCTCCCTGCTCAGCGGAGACCCTGCTTCTCCCTCTGCCTGCTACTCACCCTGGCTTGTCCTCACTGGCTTCTTCTTTCTCTGACAAATAAATAAATAAAATCTTTTTAAAAAGGTGAATACGGGGTGATAAAACTAATAGTCATGTTTTAGATATATTCTCATATAAAGAAGGGCTTTTGATATTGTATTTTTCATTTTGTGTCACAGATATATTATATTCAAAGATGCCATAATTTTATAGGGAGTAAAACATGATCTATTTTCTTAGCCAACTTGTATCCAGCAAGAAAGTTAACGAACAAATTCTAAGTGATAGGCTGCTCTGTAACTGACTTGCATGACCCTGTGGCTTGATGAATGCTCACCACAGCTCTACGGGGTAGGTGCCATTAACACCCTTATTTTACAGATGGGAAAAATGAGGCACAGAGCAAATAACTGACTTGCCCAAGATTACGTCATAGTAAGTGATTGTTCTGGAATTCAAAGTCAGGCAGTGTGACTCTGGAGTCTGTCCAGCGACATTGTAGCTTGTACTTCTGTACCAGATGTGGAAGGGGGAGGAAACAATGATTGCAAGAGAAGTTTCCAGATGGCAAGAGGAATTAGAACAGAGTTCTGAAAAATGAAAATATTTGGATTGATAGAGATTGTGTGTGTAACAAAGGAGAAAAAGAGAAGTAGTCATGAGGAAAAGAGTTACAAGAATATAGAAAGAAAGTTAGGAAAATACAACATATAGTCAAGGATTCTTAAGTAGTGCAATTAAATGGCACAAGAGTTTTTGTTCAGAATTGTGGAAAAGAAAATACATTCACAATGCTTTACCATTACCTCTAAAATAAAATGCATCCTCAAACTTATTTTGACACAAATTGATTTTAATATTGAAAATGATGTATTATTATATCTGAAATGCCAATGTTATTATTCTTCTGACACTTTCTTCTCATTAGCCCCACCCATTACAGTAAGATAACATCATGTCACAAAATTACTTGCTATTCGAAGAGGACACTTTTTAAAAGGATATATATAGTTTGGACAAAAATTAAACCTTCTAGTAAACTTTTCCTAGATAAGAATGCAAAATCAAAAAGTTGCAGTTCATACCACTGTTTTGTTTCTAGGCAAACCAGTGATGATAGTGACAGAGTACATGGAAAACGGATCCTTAGATACATTTTTAAAGGTAGGTTTGAAACACATTTAATTACTCAAATGAAGTGTTGTTTGTATGCTGCCCGTGATGTTGAAGTTGAATTTGAGCTACTTTAGAGTTTTTAAATCCAAAGAAATATCTGGAGTCAGAATAGTTATACTTCAAGAAATAAAATTTGGTTTGTAAATTTCCCTTTCCAGAAACTTAAACAAATCTAATTCGTATGTCCCTACAACTTTATTTAAATGTATGTTAAATTGTCTTCCAAAAAATGAAAGAAAGAGGTGATAAATGAAGGAAGAAGGAAGGAAGAAGGAGAGAAGGAAAGAAAAGGAAAGGGGTAAAAAAAGAAGAAGATTTTTTACAAGTACCTAACTTTCTCAGAGTATCTAGTATCAAGGAAAAAAATGTCTAAGGTCCATGCAAACCATCTGTATTGATGAGGGGTCAAATACGCTCGTAATCCATCTGAGAGCCAGCCACTCTTCGTACAAGAGGAATGGCCACGTAGTAACAGAAAGTATCACTAATGCTGTCAGATCTTCTGGGTTGCAGGAAAAGATTCTTTTTACCTGCAAGTGTCTAAATTTTATTGTTGATACCTCACTGTATTACTACCCTATGTCTTGTGCCAGACAAGGTAACATATTTGCATGTCTGATTAAAGCTATAGCCTGTTACTTCTTCACATTTCATATGGCGACTGCTACCATTGATTAGGCGAAGTGATGGGACGATGGCCTTTCTGGGGGATAATTCCAGGGTCCTGTGCATTGATGATGGCAGTCTACTGACCAGGCCAAATTTTCTTCTAATCTCCAGTCTCTACCAGATTCTGTTACCAAATTTCTTATACATATCTTCAAGTTCTCTAGTCTCTTAAGGCCATATTATTCCTACTTTTCAAAATAATCATTCGTTGGGCGTTATGCTGTGTGCCTGTGCTAAGTCCAGGGCCCCTGACAAAGTCAGAAAGCTGCTGAGAAACACTAATGTCCTGGTCATTGCTCCATCCTCTTCCTCCCACGTGCTCCTGAAGAAACTCCTTTATCTCCTCCGGCCACTTCTTTTTTTTTTTTTTTTTTTTTTTTCGCAATGTGCCTATCCCGCTAGCTTATCTCAAAGCACCTCAAAAAAGGCACAGTGTTCATCTAAGGTAGGCACTAGGTTGGAGGGATGAACGTACTCCTCTGATAACTGAGAATAAAGGAATTACAATGCTAGTTAGGGCAACTAACTGAAATTTTTGACAAGGGCTTTCAAAGCCTTGTTGGCTTTGACCAAGCAGAGGACTGATCTGTGTTACAAAGTTAATGATATATTTCATAATTTTTTCCATTCTACTTCAGACACAAATTGCATGTAAGGTTGGTGAGAGTATTAATTTGGGGCTTGAAGGAAGATCCTTTTAAATGTCCCCCCAGTGATGTGTTGTTGCTGGATTAATATTTCTACATCATTTTAATAGAAAAACGATGGGCAGTTCACTGTGATTCAGCTTGTTGGCATGCTGAGAGGCATCGCGGCAGGAATGAAGTACCTTTCTGACATGGGCTACGTGCATAGAGACCTTGCTGCCAGAAACATCTTAATCAACAGTAACCTTGTGTGCAAAGTGTCTGACTTTGGACTTTCCAGGGTGTTAGAAGATGATCCTGAGGCAGCCTACACCACGAGGGTAAGATCTAACAGAATGCATTTCTGACACAATAGATGAGAGACAATTAATTTTTAAAGATTTTTAAAGGAAATAGCAAAAAGGACATTCCTCTCACATAGGAAGACAGAGAAAAGAATGGTGGGGAGGGGATAAAAAATCTGACAATTCTACTTGTTGAATATAAGCAAATTTATATATTAAACTCAAATAAAGTATTCACTTTCTGGGGCACAATAATTCATTTTTCTTCCTACAGATACTGAAAACAAAAACTTTAGATTCAGAGTGAATACAACAATATATAAATTATTCAGAGTTTTAAATGTAAAAGAGAGTTAAAGAGAGAATCTCCTACATTAAAAGTAATTAATATTATATATATATGAATATATAAACATGTATAACATTATTGGATAACTTAAACTCTCTGCACTATAGTGTCTGCATTTATAAAACAAATATAGAAATAGCTAAACCTACCTTTTAAGGACTCACATGATACGAAATAAAAGAACTATTCCTTCAAAAAGTTTTGATTTACTGGAGGTATTTTAATGCCTAATTACTTCCCCGACATGTTATATTAACTGTTAAGCTCACATCTATGGAAAATTGGTCACTAACTCATGTTGTCATAATTAGCATAAATCAACATCCTTTTCCAGCAAAGTAATTGCTTCCTGAATCAATATGGTATGTACCCAACAATTCTTTTCTGCTGGCAAACTATGGGTATTGGTACAACAGAATTTTCTGGGCAGTCTGTGTATTGCACGTTTTGAGTTTGAATCCCTTATTTTCATTCTAAATCTTTTCAATGTCAAGAAAACATGAAATTAGATATCCTTAATGTTCCAACTCCTTGTGAAGCTAGAAATATTTTTCATTGTATCTTTTTCATTATAAGATTTGGTGAACTTTTGTTTCAATACAGAAGAACACTTTTGGCATCTCACATTCTTAAGATAGATATATTACACATTTGCTTATTTAATTCAATTTTTAAAAAATGACTTCTACTCATAGCCTAAGAATAAACTTTTATCATAGATTATAAGGCTGTTTTTGTTTTCATTTTTTTCAGTGTTGCTTTGTGACTCATGGATGTTTAGGGACTGTACTATACTGAAAATCAAGAGTAACTTATCTAAGCAAACAAAGCCCTCTAACCGTTAGCTTAGTAAATCAATAAATTAATTGGTAGAATATCCCTCTTCTTCTAGACCTAATTATCATTGTCATTATTTGCCTTGAATGAAATCTCAATTAAGAATTCTCTTGGGATTAGAGCTACACTTAATAAACTTAGCCTAAGCAAGAAGGAGGTTATAGAAAAGTCCATTCCCACTGTGATTGGTTGGTATCTTGGTTAAATGCATAAAATAGATTTGTCAAGGTCTCTGTCAGTGTATCATGCTGGGGAGAGGGGAACGGAGGCAGAGCTCCTGAGACCCGCAAGACCTACTCCTCTGAAATGAGCGGTGAGATCAGTTTGTGGAAAATCCATATACTGAGAGATGAAAAGATAAGGGAACTTCAGATAATAGTGATGTCAGATATGATGGTCAGAGGACCAGAGGAAAAATCCTAGGCTGAGGTTTGAAGTAAATCAACAAATTACGATTTTAAAAGGAAAAGTGAGAACATATTATAGATATCCCAGTGACACATGGCCATGCCTAATGATGTGATCTTATCTATGAATGTTTAATTAACAAAAGTATGTATCAGGAAAGTCTTCTTAAAGTGGTGTTACCATATATATAAAGGGCAAATAATTTAAACATAGTTTGAATAGTTCAAATTAACCTCAGCTCATGGAACAACTTCAAGCATTACATCAAACTGTTATTTCCCCATGTCTTGAAACTATGATTCATAAGGAGCAACTTAAGTTCCATTTTTTGCTAGTGTTAAATTATATCCTCTCTGCAAAATGGGAAGGCATAAGTTAATCTTAATCTTTTTTATATGAAAATATTCAAAGGCTATGCATTTCCCCCTTAAATATATTTTTGCCTGTGGATGAAATGTTTGGTTTCCTGAGTTTGCCTGCAGGATATAGAAGTGTTTATTTTGTGAACTAAGAGGAAACCTACCAAACCATTTTTTTTTTACTATTAAAAAATTCCAAACTTGATAATGTCATAAGTTTTCCCCAAAATCTAATTGCCATAATTTTTAATATGGTTAAATTAAATGAGAGATCTATCTCTTAGATGAAAATAAAAACAGTCTGTAACACAACAAACACAAAAATACATTGGCAGAAAATAAGTGAAGTCCAGTCTAAAAGAAATTGCACAGTGATAGGGGACAATATAACTATACGTGATTTTCACGCTTGTCTTATTAACTGTTAAACCTCTCAGGGTTGCATTCAGCAACCGAAACTTCCCCTTTATAATTCCTATGTTAAAGGAAAAACAAAAAACAAAAAACAACAACAAAAAACCGACAACAAAAAAAACAATGCCCTGGGAATTTTAGTCCTTTACACTCTGTTAGAAAGTCATGAAAAATACCTTATTGATTTGCTTGACTGCCCGCTTTTCCCTCATCGAGCTGCCATCATGATACTGTAATTGAGATGTGGGTCCTGTATGTGTTCCAGTAGTCAAACAGAATTTAAACCAGAAACCTTCCGGACAGCCAATTAGTAGTCAGCCTACAAGTGCTTACAGCCTGAGATATGTGAAAAGAGACTGCATGCTGTCAAACAGATTCACTTAAAAATGCTACATCTCTTTCCAGATCTTTCTAGTGAGGCAACAATATCCTGAGATTCATTTGAAGTATGTGGTAATTCTTTTATTCTTTTTCAATTTTAGGGAGGCAAAATTCCAATCAGATGGACTGCCCCAGAAGCTATAGCTTTCCGAAAGTTTACCTCTGCCAGTGATGTCTGGAGCTATGGCATCGTGATGTGGGAGGTTGTATCTTACGGGGAAAGACCCTACTGGGAGATGACCAATCAAGATGTAAGTATGGAACTACTCTCCTTCAAGTCTGGAATGAAGTGCTTTGTTCTCTGAGTCAGGAGACAGAAAATTTTTCATTTCTCACAATGACAATTGCCTAAAAAGAGGAAATACTTTGCTTATCCTCTGATCTGTTTTGTTGTTGTCAAAATAGCCTTTATGCAGAAACTGAAAATAAGTTAGTACAAAGGAAAGGAAGTTACTATTACATAAAAGTCAGTCCCTTGCCAGACAGTGTTAGCTCTACTATAGTGACAATTCACTCATTTTATGTCACTACCATTTTCAAAGATGAAGAACGAGCCATCAGAGAATGAATACTGACAGCCAAGTTTTTATGATTTGCATTTGATAAAGGCAGCTAATACTCCAAACCAAAAGGATGAATGATATCGATTTAATAGTGGATATTCTTAGGGGATAAAAATAATAATCTATGTTTCTTTAAATTAAAAAAATATATAAGAAGAGTTGGATTGTCTATTTAATTTGCAGAAAAGCACAGAATTTTTTCTTATATAGAAAAATAATTTACACTTAGAATAACAGGAACCTAAAATTAAAGGATCTATGAAAAACTCTTCTATTCAAGTTCAGAATGTTTATTATGTGATGCCTGAAACATGGCTCTTTGGTCTTTGCCTTTGTAATTTTCCATTGTTACTATTCAATACAGTCCTTCCCATTTTGGGTTACACAGAAATTTGATATTTGCCCTTCAAATAACAAAAAGTATGAAAGCAACTAACATTTCTTGAACCCTAAGTATGTGCCACATACTCTCTTAAGTTCTTTATCAACTACCTCATTACTTCTTTCTAAAACCAGTATATGGAGCAGTCCTAACTCAACAGCATACTTATTTAAAGCATTTATTTTTCCTCCAATTATTTCTTTCATCCATGCTCTGTAAAATCTCCCACTCCTATGCCTTTAGGGGTTATTACAGAGACTACAGCTCTGCAGCTGCATTTTATTGAAACAACTATCCCATACCAGTAATTAAGATTCAATTTCAGATATAAAATTTCAAGTCCAGTCTAAATCAAAGTCAATGCTATATCCATTTCAAAGTGGTTTCCGCATCTACAGAGCCAGCCTGACCCTCACTACCTAAACTGGGAAGGAAGAATGGTCACGTGTTTGCTCCTCTTCCTCCTCTGTCAAAGTTTGTACCTAGATTTTTCAGAGTTGTCCTTGATGAATATGCAGAAAAGAAAGGACAGGATTGTTTTTATGTTAGTTTGCTGATGCCCCCTCTTGGTCAGATCCCCGAACACTGGTTTTCCAGTGAGGTGTGTGTCAGAGCTCTTGCACAGACTCCTGGGGAAACCCTCACTTTGCAGGTCACTAGAGGGTGAGGATGCACTGGGGCTTCCCACAGCTCCTCTCACTCTCTGCCTTCTCCCGACCTCACGGTCTCTCACCGTATAGTACACGTGTATACATCACTGGCGAGAAACCCCTTCTGGTGGGTTGCTCAGCCGTTGTTCCTTCTTTAGGACTATGATTGCAGACCGCTCCAGCCAGCCCGCCTTCTTCAAATCTCTGTGGGTGAGAAACCAGGGTCACACTTCAGCTTTTCCAAGTGTAATTTCACAGCATTCTTCTCTGATAGCAACACTAAATTGGGCTTAATGCATTCCTACTTCTCAACAAGCCTACAGCAAGGCAGCCAACCTCCCCTTTTTGTAGTTACTACAAATTGCTACAATTGGTTTTCTTTGTGTCCCACTCAACCTGGCTTTGGGAGGGAGCGCTGACTTACAGTTCTCTAAATTTAGGAGAACATAGTATCTTTTTTAGGTTTATTATTTTGGGCTAGGGCTGTGGTACAAAAAAAATCACTGAACTCATATATTTGACAACTCATCAGAAAGATGCTGTTGCTATTCCTGTTTTTAAGTTAAGAAATGGAGCTTAGAGAGATTAAATGACTTTCTTAAGGTCACAAAAAATAATAATCATTACGCCAGAAATTTAAACAGGATTCTCTAAAATTTGTGTACCAAACTACCGCACTGTCTCTGATTGAATCAATGTCTACTTCTTCCTTTTGTTTTCAACCAGTAAGCCTAGATCAGCCTTTTGAATGAGTATAAAATAGTCAACTCAATACATAATAATTACTCTGAATTTTTAGCCTAAAGGAAGACCACACCTATTTGCTATTTACTGTTCTCCAGAAAAATGCCAAACAGTAACTTGAACTATAGCATACGTCACAGTTTGGCTTCCAACTTTTCTCAAGAATCATGTTAATGCCGTTCTCTCCTTTAACGTTTGTGAATGTATTTTATTCTGCCATGACGACAGTGTTTGTTTCTTCACTCAAAGAAAACCTTTACTCTTTATTTGACTGGTTAACTTCTTCTCAAACTTAACAATATTTTGACTTCTCATTCTGTCATTCAGAATTTTTAGTCCTTCTCAACTATGTGTGTGATACGTATAGCCTTGTCATCTACATTATTGGCAATTATACCTGATATAGTTGCATCTATCACAATTAAAATTATAGACCACAGTACAACATGATGTGAGGTGAATGCTCGTTAAGTGTTTCTGTTGATCTTAACTGGGTATGCTCATGTTCCTGGAGTTCGCTGGTCTACACTGGCGCACCTTTGCTCTAATCCATGCGGCTTTCATGTTCCTCTGGAGACCTGCAGACTAGCCTAGATGTGAACTCATCTGTCAAGTGCCTGAAGGGCCAGAGTGATCCCAATTGCACCTCCTTCTGTAACGTATCTGCTAAAATCCCATTAGCCAGTCCTGTAATCAAGGGATTGGTCCAGTCACACTGTCTGTTGTGAACCGACAGTACAAAGTTACATGAAGAAGGGCATAGAAACTGGGAGGTACAAAGGATTTGGAGCACATATATTTTTCTGATTTTAGCCATTTGAGAGTCTTGATATTCCATCAGATAAATTTATTTCAAACTATTTAGAAAAATAAAAGGGAGTGCTGATACAAATTCTCAGGAAATTATAACAATAAAAAGTAAAATTTTGGCCTTGGCTGGGTTTTCCAAGAATCTAAATAAGGTTTACAGTAAATGATTATACAATTGCAGATCTTCCTAAAATGTCTGATTTTAATAAAATATACAATAAAAGCTATATATTTTCTCACAAGTTCACACTCATTAGTGGAATTTAATTTCTGTGTATAGCACTGTTTGATACCCTCAATTTCTGTCCCAATTTGTATTCAAGACACATGACCGATCTACTGCATTTGAAAATCATGATCACTGAATATTTCTTTGGAAAAAAATTCTCAAAGAGCAAAATAACTGATTTGGTGTTTTGAATGCTATAGCCCATAATCTCTACATTGCAGATACTACCTGGTTCTAAAAAGGCATTGCAACATGAAAATATGACATTACCATACATGCAGAATATTCTAAGTCTCTCAGAGGAGACCTTCTACTATGTGAAGGAGACAGAACGCTGCAGTCAGTTTCTTTTGATATAAGACTGCGTCCGTCATCACAGAGGAAAAAACATAACAACACATAATAAAAATAAGCTAGAATGACTAAGATAATTTTAATATCAGACCATGAACTCCATGAACTAAAATAATATCCTGAAGTCAGTAGAAACTTCTTTATTTGATAAAATACATTTTACATGTCAACATTTTTCTGAACTTAAAATCAAAACCAAAATAAGAGGTTTATTAGCATGGCGCTTTTATATTTAGTGACAGTCTTTCTCTTGTATTAATTGGGAAATGTATGAATACATAGAATATACTAAACACATAGATTATAAATTTTTTAAAAACTTATTTATTGGCATCCGTGTGGCTCAGTCACTACGCGTCTGACTTCGTTCAGCTCAGGTCATATTCCCAGGGTCCTGGAATCGAGACTTGCATCAGGCTCCCTTTTCAGCAGGAAGCCTGCTTCCCCTCCTCCACTCCCCCAGCTTGTGTTCCCTCTCTTGCTGTCTCTGTCTCTCTCAAATAAATAAATAAAATCTTTTTAAAAAATTAAAAAAAAAACAAAACCTCATTTATCTTCCCAATCTTCTCATGTTAGAATTACTTGAATTACTTTTCTTCTTCTTCTTCTTTTTTTTTTTTTTTTGGACATTCAGTTTTCTACTACTATTTCTGTTGGCCTAGATCTGACTCTTTAAGACAGCAAGAATTTTTGACCCAAAACGATGTCAACCTACTTTGTACTGGGTGTGCTTCTCATCCTCTTTCTATTCTTTGTTATAATTACAGATATATATAGAGATACATATCTGGTATATGTATCTTTTATCACTGGAATATTTCATGGTAAAATAACTACTTTACGATAGCACACAACATGTTATAATTAACCAAAGTATGAAGAATTCAGTTTTCAGGTAAATACTGAGTATTACCGAGATTTGACAAAAAAAGTGTTTGACTTTTACCCTCAATAAAATAGTATTTAAAATGAGTGCATTTGACAAACAAATATTGGTCTTTGAAGATAATATTAGTCTTCTAAGGATAATGCTGCCTACCCTTAAATGAAAGTAATTATTTTAGTGACTGGTAACCTCATGTTAATTCTTATCCCTTTGGAAAAAAGTGATCCATAAAGAAATATCAATATTTAATTTCAAAAGTCCTGTATCTTGCTATTTAACAAAAACAACAATTAAAATAAAAGACAAAAAATTTAGAACTGGAGCCAGTCATTTTGGGGACACCTAGGTGGCTCAGTGAGTTAAGCTTCTGCCTTCAACTCAGGTCATGATCTCAGGGTCCTAAGATCAAGCCCCTCATCGGGCTCTCTGCTCAGCAGGTGGCCTGCTTCCCTCTCTCTCTCTGCCTGCCTCTCTGCCTACTTGTGATCCCTCTCTCTCTGTCAAATAATAATAAAAAAATCTTAAAAAAAAAAAAAAAAAGAAAGCCAGTCATTTTGGATTCTATAACTCTTGGTCAGTTGTAGTGATTATAAAGGGAGTGGACTTGAATAGAGAGAATTTTGTTAACTTTAT